ACTCCTTGGAAGGAAGATGGGGCAATCTACTTCCGTAGCGATACTGCCTTGGAAACCCAAGGAGGGGTCGCTAGGAGTCGGGGCCGACTCAATGGCACATCACAACAACAACATGTGTGTGTGTAAGCACACATTAAACCACACCCACTGCCGTGGAGTCCAGCCCCACTCACAGCGCCCCTAGTGGACAGAGTGGAACTGCACCACAGGGTTTCCACACCTCTAATCTTTATGGGAACGGATTGCCAAGTCTTTCTCCCACAAGGTGGCTGGTGGGTTCCAACAGCTGATCTTCTGGCTAGCAGTTGAATGATTTAACCACTATACCACCAGAGCACTCTTGTAGGCACACACACACATAAATTTATTCACTCAATTTCTAAGTGGTCAGCCTGAACAGGTTAGCTATCCTGAGTCAAAGGCAGGTACCTTCCCCTTTCTCCTAAGCTCCGTTTGGGCCAGTTTTATGGCAGGAAGACTGTGTGAAGTCCCACCCAGCTGCCAGAGGCGGCAGCGGGTACAGCGAGTTAAGCCATGCTCTCTGCCTACTACAGGCCATACACATGGTGGGAAAGAGGCCAGAAAGAGACTAACTAGGTTAATGCTTGTGACTGGTGCTGAAAAGAGTGCACAGATGAGACCCTGAGGGGTCCAGAGGGTAAGACAAGACCCCTGTCAGGCTGAAGCTCACCTCAGGCTCTAAGTGCTCTGAGGTATGGACCGTGGCTATCTGCTTCCTCCAAAATGAGCCTGTGTCTCCAAATGGCGGGAAGAGATGCCAGTTCTTTACTGGTGGGCAGGAGATGGAAGGCTCATGATTCAGACATTACGTTTTGTCTGATGAACTTGTAGCATACAGTCTTCCTGCATAAAACTGGCCCAAACGGAGCTTAGGAGAAAGGGGAAGATACCTGCCTTTGAGTCAGGATAGCTAACCTGTTCAGGCTGACCACTTACATTGCTGCCTGGCCCATCAATCCATCCACTCATGACATCTGGTCCATGCCTGCCCTGGCCCTGATCCCATGCTTAGCTCTGGTCACTCCAGCCCTTGGTATATGTCAATTTGCTGGGTTAGGAATGGAAGTTTCCTGCAGGCAGAGCACTTTGTCTCATTCACTCAAAGCCTCGAGCACCTGGAAAAGGGCCTGCCTGAGGGGCCATCAAGCTCACTTGGCATAACATGGTGCACAAAACATTGTTCCACCTCCTACTGTGGTGAGTAGTGACTGGGATCGTAAAAGCTTGCAAGCAGCCATCTAGATGCAACGATGTGTCTCTCCTCATCCAAAGCAAAGAAGAGTGAAGAAAAACAAAGATTCAGGGAATCAATTAGTCCATGGAACTGGTAGACCATGTGATCCTCAGCCTATGTGACTATGAGACCAGAAGAACCAGATGGTGCCCGTCTACCACTGTCAACCACTCAGAGGGGGATCTATGTATGAGATCCTGGATAAAGAGGGAGAACAATGTGGAACAAAACTCAAAATCATTTGGAAAAAAAAGGGGGGGGGCGGCCAGGTTTGCTGATCCGACAGAGCCTGGTGGAACCACTGAGACTATGGCCCTAGCTGTCTTTCAGGTCTGGAATTGAACCCACATCTGTGGCTTCCAGCCAAACAAAAGACAGGCATAAGAATTGAACATGTGCCTGAGGTAGATACACTTCTTGGAGAGATCAATCCTGGGAGAAAGAAGGACTGTGTGTGCACAGGGAGACAGCTTGGGGGGCAGGAGTGCATGGAGGGATGGACACAGGGAAGAGGTGACCATGGGGAGGAAGGGGGAGGGTAGGTGTTGCGTTGGGGTAAGCTGTCAATGTCATCAGACGTGTATGTGAACTTCTGTATGGAAAGTGAATTTGCTCTGTAAACTCTCACCCAAATCACACTCACACACACACACACACACACACACACACACAAGGGCCTGCCTGGAACATGAGCTGGCTCACCACTGAGCACTTCAATGAAGAACAAGGCTCCTGTGTTGAGTCAGTGGCGCCACCAAGATGCTAAGTCACAAGAGCAATGCTGACCAAGTAATAAAGGTCAAAGGTACTAGTCTCAGGGGTCACTTCACAACCTCCAAGCCAGCCCCTCAAAACCACCACCCTCTTCACCCTCTTGTCCAATGGACCTAGTGGGCCTTCCTGCCCCACCAGCCAAAGGCAGGGTGGAAGTGACCGTGCTTTAAGATAACTGTTCATATTCCGGAGAAATTAGAGTGAACCCCCAAGTGCGCCTCTGGGTCTGGCCTTGGCTCTGTAGCCTCTTGACCATTAAGCACAAATGACAAGTGGCAACGCCCACCCACCTGTTTGGCCGCCTACTGCTCTGAAAGTCACTTCAGAGGAAACATCTGCAGCAGGGTTCAAAGGGCCCAGGCAGTTGCTTAAAGGAAGTTGGAATGCAAAAGGAGATGAAAAACAAACTGGGCGAGAGGCGGGGAGGGCAGAGGGGGGAAGAGCCTCCCCACCCCAACAAGTGGATCGAGAGCTGTTGCCAGTGAAGGCAGGAGAAAACAAACATGTGCACAACACTGTTAGGCTCTTTGCCAGCTGTTTGCACATGGAGATTTAGGGGGAGGTGAGCAAACACCCTCAGAGCCCCAAGCCCCCTCAGAACCTCTCAGGCTCCAGAGCCTCTCTGAACCTTTCAGAGCCCTGAGACCCTCAAAGCTCCTAACCCCCACAGAGAAGCAAAAGTTCCCCAAGGTTTCATTTCTTTACTTTATTCAGATAATATATTGATGATTTCCATTCAATACAACTGAAAATGCAGTAAGGTTAGAATCTCTTACAATGCCATTATCAAAATAAATAAGTTAGAGAAGTGGAATGTTTCAATACACATTTTCACTAGAATCTTGGAATACAACTGAAAATGCAGTAAGGTTAGAATCTCTTACAATGCCATTATCAAAATAAATAAGTTAGAGAAGTGGAATGTTTCAATACACATTTTCACTAGAATCTTGGAATACAACTGAAAATGCAGTGTGATTATAGGACAGCTGCTAACTTTCAAATTCCAGGTCTATAGACCATCTCTAAGCAGAAGTATTATGTCCCACTAAGGAAGGTTGGGCAATCTACTTCTGTTAGTGATACTGCCTCGGAAACCCAAGGAGGGGTCGCTATGAGTCGAGTCTGACTCGACGGCACATAACAACAACAACAACAACAAAGGGCTCAGCTTGTTAACTAAGGGGACTGATGGAGGTGGAAAACAACGGGCAGCTCTTTGAATTTGGTTAGAAAAGAAAAAAAAAGACAACGTAGTAACTATTGAAAGACTTATACATATTAGTGAAATAAAAATGGAATCCCAAATATCTACTCTTAAACTACTTAAAAAAAATATACAGGTGCAGTTACAGCATGATTCTGAGAAGGGATTAGTACTGGCTACAGTTGAAATGCACTCAAAGGCAGTGAGTTGTGTTTGTTTTTTTCTTACTTTTTTTTAGTCAGCACTATTAAAGGAGCTCTGGCGGTACAGTGGTTAAAGCATTTGGCTGCTAACCAAAAGGTCAGCAGCTCGAACCCACCAGCTGCTCTGTGGGAGAAAGATGAGGGAGTTGGCTGCCATAAAGACAGACAGCCTTGGCAACACTGTGGTGCAGTTCCACTCTGTCCTCTAGGGGCGCTGTGGGTCAGAATGGACTCCACG